TGTGTGTGTGTGTGTGTGTGTGTGTGTGTGTGTGTGTGTGTGTGTGTGTGTGTGTGCATGTGTGCGCGTGCATGCGCGCGCACACGCACGCGCGTGCGCGCGTGTGCATGTGCACGCGCACGTGTGTGCTTTGGGATCTGCTGGGTGCGGAACTCTTGTCGATGTTTGTCTGGGCACAGGCGCGCGGTGGTCGCGTGAGGTGTGCTTGCGGGTGGAGGCAAGCTGTGCGCAGGCATGCATAAAGCGCAGATGCTGGGGGTCCGGAAGGGAAGCGGTCTTTGAATATGCGTGCTCCAGGGCGCAAAGCCAAGTACGGGTGTTCCGTGCAGCCGAGGAACCCCCCCCCAAAAACACACACACACACACACACACACACACACACACACACACACACACACAGCACATACACACACATGCCCAGCGACGCGCGAGAAATCCCCAACCAGGCATGGCCCCCGAACCCCACCCCAAACCACCACCGCCACCACCGCCTCGCCCCTCCGCCGCCGCCCCAGGTGCTCCACAAGAGTGACAAGGCGGAGGAGCACGCGGCCCAGGTGGCGGCATACATACGCGCCCACTACCCAAAGGGGGAGTCAGGCATCGTCTACGCCCTCGCGAGGTGCTGCGCGGCCTCGGCGCATGCGCGTGCGCGTGCGCGTGTGTGCGTGCAGGGAACGTCCGCGCGCCAACGGCGCATGCGCGTGCGCGTGTGTGCGTGCAGGGAACGGCCCGACGGCTCCTTCTCAGGACACACGCACCCCCCAAACACGTGCGACAGCAGAGGATCCCGCAGTCATCAAGATTTCTGGCCCCTCCCCGGGAAGCCCTCTGATAGGCAACAAAAGCCCGGCTCTCCGAGTCGCGTGGCCCTCTCCCCCCCTCACCCCCGCGCAACCAAACGGCTCTCCAGGAAGGACACGGAGCGGCTGGCGGCGGCGCTGTGCGAGGCCGGCCTGGCTGCCTTGCACTACCACGCAGACATGGAGCCCGAGGCGCGCCAGGAGGCCCACATGGCCTGGAGCGCAGGCACCGTGCAGGTGCTTGCGTGTGCGGGTGTATATATTGGTTGTGATGCTGCTTGTGTGAGAGTTAGGTTGTGCTTGTGAAGGGCTTGGGGCTGGGCGAGTGGGGGTGTCATTCTGGGTGCTGCCGCATTGCACCAGCCGGATCGGGGCCCAGTCAGATTGCGATCAAGGCCTAAGTGCGGCAAGGCCAGGACGCATGTGTTCCAACTAGTGCAGGGCGCTGAGGCCCGCCTCCTGGGGTTATCCCCTTTCATCTTCATGTTGGTCGTCAGCCGGATGCTCTGAGTCTCTTTGGGCATGCATCGGCCGCACGCCGTGACCGCGCGCCGCCCTCCTTTTCGGGCAGGTGCTCTGCGCCACAATCGCTTTTGGGATGGGGATCAGCAAGGTGAGTTTTTGAATGCATTACCGCTCTTCTGGTTGGCACAACCGTGCGCCGCAGCCTCGGCAGCGCTCAGAGTCTGGGCCGTCCGCTGCGTCAGCCGCGATCCGCGCGGGCACCTGTTGATAGGCAGAAGCCCACTGCAGCGCGACACAAGGCAGTGGCGGCGGAGCGGCATGGATCAGTGGGGTGACTTAAGACCTGCCCCACGCCCCACCAAATCCGCCACAGACTGACGTGCGCTTCGTCATTCATTCAACTCTGTCCAAGAGCATCGAGGTGCGCGCGGCACACCTGGCCGCCTCGGCGAGCCGGCTGAAACTCATTCCTGCTGCCCGTGTCGGGCGGCCCAGCTCAGCCGCCTGCCGATTGGCAGTGCGCCGCGCATACGCGAGCGCAGCCACTACACCGCCAGGCCCGCGGCTCCAGGGTTTGACCGCCGCCAGCTGCGTCGAACGACCTGCAGGCTGAGCAGCAGCTGCTGAACCTCGTTTCGCAGCGTCCGCTTGCTCAGGACAGCGGGTTGACAAGCGGACGCTGCAAAACGAGCGCCCGTCGGCTTGCGAGCAAGGCGGCGGCCTTCTGACAGGGACCCCGCCGTTTCTGCCTCGTTGGGTGTCTCTTGTGGTTGTGACGGCCCCAGCGCCTGCAGCCATCCTACCTGGCTTGAAAGCAGCCCGTTTGCTAACAAGTCCACAAAGCCATATGCCTTCTCTTTGTGCCTCGACACACGCGTGCCGACCTCCCCTGGCCGCCTCACTGGGCCCCTCCTCAATGCACGCCCACCCTCCCTGGCCGCCTCACCGGACCCCTGCCCCTCCTCACCCCCACACATGCCCACCTTCCCTGGCCGCCTAATGCTACCACTGCCCCCCACCCACCCCCCACACCCCCAGAATTACTATCAGGAGAGCGGCCGCTGCGGCCGCGACGGGCTGCCCGCCAAGTGCGTGCTGTGCTACAGGTGGGCGGGACGTCTGATTGAGCTCGTGTTTGTTTGCCAATTATTCCAAACTGACGGTCATTGCTGCCGTCGATGCTTCAAGGCCCCTGGCCGTCCTTTGTCGCGCCACTGGATCGGCGCCGAGCGTGATTGCTCACCGCGATTGCGGCCCCTGGCCCCATGGCGCTGCCCGATAGCCCAGCGACAGCGACGATGCAGCCCTGCGGCAGGCGTGCGCACGGCGCCGCCCCGGCGCCCCCCGCCCCCATCCATGCGCGTTGGAGGCACAATGCGCCGTGCTTTGCAGATCAACACCCACCAACTCGACCCGTCTCACCGACTGGGTAACAACCATCGACTAATCCCTGAACTCTGCGACCCAAACGCCGACGGATGACGACGCCGAAACCAAAACCATCCTCCCCCAGGTTTTCAGACGTCCTGCGGCAGGCGGCCGTGGTGTGCGTGGAGCCGTCGTGGCGGCCGTGCCTGACGGCGATCGCGCGGTACGCCTCGGGCTGGGCCGGCTGCCGCCGCGCCGCCATACAGCGCCACTTTGGGGAGGTAGGCTTTGGGGGTGCGCCGGGCGCCCGCGCGGCGGCCCGCGGCCCCGGCGTTCGGTAGTTGGGATAGCGGGGGCGCGTGGAGCTTGGGCGGCACGCACGCAAGCGCACGGGGCTCCGTCCAGCCCTGGACGCGGGATGGTGCACACCCTTCATTGCGCTCAGCGCGCTGTGGTCACAGCTGCCCCAGCCCCACACACCCCTCCCCACGGGCGCATCCCTGCGCTTGACGCTTGATCCACGGCCGCGTTTGGTGGCGGCGCAGGCGCCGGCGCGTTGCGCGACGCCCTGCGACCTCTGTGCACTCAAGGCGGCGGGGGGCGGCGGGCCGCAGGCGGCGGCGGGCGGCGCCGGGCGGCACCAGGCGGCGGGGCGGGAGCCTCCGGGGCAGGACTTGACGCGCGAGGGCGTGGCGCTGGTCAAGACACTGCAGGTGCTGGAGCAGTCCTTACGTATGCGCCGCCGTGCGCCGCCGCTGCTTGGCCACACGCGTGGCGGCGGTGGGCCGGGGGTGTTGATTCCAGGCTTACCCTGTGTCGCGGCTGCAGGCAGGCGCATGCGGCAGGCTGGCGGTCAATGTGGGTCTGCTCCTGCCCCGCCAGTGGCGCTGGCACAAGCCTCAACATCCGCCGCGCCGCGCCCGGCCCGCCCCCTGCACACACCTGCGCAGGGCCTGGAGCGCGGCAGCGGCAAGAAGCACACCCTCACGCAGCTGGTGGACGCCTTCAAAAACAGGCGCGCCCCTGACCCCGCTCGACACAGCCCCCGATCCGACCCACCGCGCACGCGCGAGCGTACGCATCGCTGCAGCGCTTGTGCTGCCGCGCTGCCCTGTGCAGCCCCGGCACGCCCGGCGCGCAAGCGCGACTCGGCTCCCAACGGCGAGCGGGGCGGTGTGCTGCCACGCGCAGGAACAAGAGCGCGGACCACGCCGCGGCGGCGGGGCTGACGCGGGACGAGGCTGAGTGGCTGGCCGGCGCCCTGATGCTGCAGGTGGGCCGCCCTGCCCTTGGGTTGGGCTCAAGCCCCGCAGGGGCTGAGAGTGGGGCGCCACGGCGTAGAGTCCCTGCAGGGGCTGGGAACCGGTTGCGCCTCACGCCCTGCGACGGACTGGGGTGTCTGGACGGGTGGGCTACAGGCAGGCGGGGGGCGCTGGTTGACTTCGGCTGTGTGCAGCGGGGCTGCTTGGCCGGCGCGGGGATCCACCAGCAGGCAGCGGCAAGGGTTGAGGCGGCCCATCCAGCCCCTGCCCCTGGATGGCCCTCTAGACGTAGCACTGGCTGCCCGATGCCCCTCGCCTGATTGCCTCAATCGCAGGGCTACTTGTCGCTCGAGTTTGGATTCACAGCTTGTGAGCACCAACATGATTCTGTAGAGGCGCACCTGTTCACGATCTCCTGGGAACCCGCGCTCTCGCACGTGCCTGCCGTCAACCCTCAGCATTGCCACGAGACAAGCCTATATTTATTCAACCCTGGTTGATTTAAGCTGCTGCTGTGCATTCCTTCGCTGCAGCCATCAACCCTTAACCCCTATGCACCCAACCCCTTTGGGCCCCGCAGACTCCACAAACTGCTATCTGTCCCCGACGGCAGCCGGGGCGTCGTTCGTGGACGCGGGTGGTCGCAGGAAGTGAGCGCCGCTCCCGAGTTGGGCCGCGCACAGCCAGCCAACATCAGGACATGCGCCCATGCTCATGCGGTCCTGGCGGCCCCTTGCCCAGCAGCTGCCCCCGGCTGAAAACGAGCATCATTCTTGAGGGACGTCCTGTTGGCATCGCAATCACAGCTTGGCAACATCCCCCACCCTCTCCTCTGAACCCCCTGGGTGGGCATCTGTCTCTAGGCAATACAATTTCGCACACGCTGCCAGTACAAAGTTAAGCCCGTCTCGTCCTGCGGCCTCTCGTATTGCCCTGCAGGCTGGTGCTCGTGAAGCCATCCATGCGCTCCGTGGCGCAGGCGACGGCCGAGGCGGCGGCGGGGCCCAGCAGCGGCGGGGCCGCCACAGAGCCGGGTGGCAAGCAGCAGCAAGGGCAGCAGCAGCGGCAGCAGCGGCAGATGCGGGCTTCGGAGCCCAAGCAGCTGCTGCAGGGGCGGCAGCAAGCACAGCGGGGCTGGGGGCGGGCGCGGGCGGACGTGGAGGGCAGTGACGAGGCACAGCAGGATGGGAACGAGGAGGAAGAGGGGGTCGTGGAGGTGGACGAGGAGGAGGAAGACGATGATGATGAGGAGGAGGAGGAGGACGATTTCATTCCGGCCCGCCGGAAGCAGCGGACTCGGTAACGCGTCTTCGCCGACTGCTGATGGTGCAGGGAGGAGCGGGCAGGCGGGCCTGTAGGCAGCAGGGTGCGGCCGGCGTGGCGTTGGGGGCCTGCAGGGGTGGGTGCTCGGGTGACCGCGGGTGCCCAGCATCAAGGATGCCCAGTTGCTGTCTAAAGCCTTGGGCAATTGAGGGGGGACGAGTGTAACGGCTGGAGCCTGGAGGTAGGGCCCTGGGCGAAGCCCTGGGGCCATATAAGTGGGTGCCTGCCGGGACATACCACACTGGAGGTGGGGTAGCTGCCCGGCAGGTGGCTGTGGGGACTGGTGGTCACAGCCTTAAATGCCCTTCAAGGGACCGACTCGAGACCTTTTTCCTAATGGGGATTCACCTCCCCGTTCCACTGGACCGGCACCAGCGTCCCATGGACAGCAGACCAGCATGCTCGTGGACTGTGCACCAATGCACAGGGGGGGGGGGTTCAGGGTTCAGTCTGCCAAAGGCATGGCCATCATCGCAATGTTTGGGCTGGGCTGGGCCCAGCCCCCGGCACTGAAGTCTGAAGAGGTCCGTGGACCCCAACCCCCATCCCCGCGAACAGCCCCACTCGCCCGTGCTCCTCATTTAGAATTGATTTCACCGCAGTCGCCACGACACGACATGCACGTTTCTCGCACGTTGACACGAGATTTACATCCTCTTCGTAATCTACGAGACAGCGGTCTCGGGGCAATCAACAGGTCAACCGTAGTGGAGGACCTATACCGTACGTAAATTGATTCAGCAGCATAACTCAAATCAACTCCCAAAAGTGAGTCAGAACACACCAGCAGTGCGCTTTTCCACCTTCTCTTGCACCCCAACAACAGCAAGCGAAGGCGCCCAAGGCGCTCCACAAGCGCCACACCCCACCAAAATGGGGGCTCCTCATGGATTGCTGCCCCTCGTGGTGGTCGCCTTGGTGGCTGGAGCCGCGCTAGCAGCAGGAGTCTCTGCAGCCGCCGCCGTCATCGGCTTGCGGGCATTGCTGGCATGGGGCATCGGCCTTTCAGGGTGAGGGAACAGGAGCAGCACGCCATTGTTACTAGGATAAGGGCGCGAACGGTTCCCACATATGAGTTGCTGCATTGTGAGCGCTAACATTGCCGGCGTTTTTATCATCGCCTTATGTGGTGCCTGTGCTTCTGTGACTCACCCACGCTCACCTAAACCTGCTTGCAACCCCGTTTTGGCTGGTCCCGTGCATGTTGTTGCCGCAGGAGCACCGCGTCGGCTAGCTTGTTCCTGGTGCTGCCAGCGGCCGTTGTGAGCCGCGCGCTGCGGTCTTGAATGTGCCGAGAGCCGCTGCTGAAATGACCGCCATGCGAAGTCCAGCTTTGCAGGGCGAAATGCAGGCAGGCTCCGCCGCCAGGGCCGCCACCCCTGCGACTACGCAGCATAAACGCATCCGCATCACGCCCTGCTCTCGCGAGCTTGAACCGCACCAGCCACCCGATCTACGAATTGTCACCACCAGCCACCGCTCTGTCACCCACTGGGGTTTACACATCGCTTTCAGGCCACGTGCGGCCGCCCACAGTGGGCCTGATGCTGCTGGAATAAAGCTTCCGTTCTGCTCCAGTTTGCCTGGGGAAGCATGCCCTTGCCGTGGCGCAAGGGCGGCGTGAACGCCGACCAGAAGCTCAAAAGCGCCATCCAATGGCGCTGTTCACGACGCTCTTCCTCCCTCATCATTGCGGCCTCGCTTTGCTTGCGATGATAATTCGCGTCGCTTGTACGGTACCGCAACGTGTGTTGCTGCTGTTCACTTCCCGAGTGCCTCTCGCACCATTTGGTTCGGCACACTCGACGCTGCGCGCCCACCCCAGCGCATCTGCCCCGTTCGATGAGCTATTTTTAATCCTTATCTCATATCTTCATCCGTGGATCTCAGGCCCTCCCCTGCCGACCTTGACCCCGCAACAAGGGCTGGCCAGCCACCCCCGCATCGTAATCGCGGGATAGCGTAGCCGCGCAAGTACAAGGTGCGGATCCATGTGGCTTATGGGGTCGGCTGCGAGGCTCGACAGGCCTGCTCGGCGAGGCTGCCCATTAGAGGCAGTGCTGTGATGGGTCATTCGCGCACCTGGGGCCCGCTCCATGCGCCGCGCCCATGGTGGCCCTAGTTGATACTCAGGTGGCAATATCCGGCAGCGCTCCCAGATATGCGTCCAGCTCAGGCCGGGTGCGCCCGCATGCGCATCAGCCGCTGCCGTTGTCCAACTTCCGAGCGCCGCTTCCCTGCCACGCGCGTGCAGGCCAGGCATGGAAGGCGTCGCTTTCGCGCGCCGCCCCGCCTCTCACAGGCGCAGCCACTCCTTCAGCGGCACATGGCAGCCCGCGCCCGAAGGCGGCGCGCCCCTGCCGTCCCCGTCCTGCAACGAGCAGCTGCTGGGGGCGCCAGTTGATGCCGCAGCGCAGCGGCTGCTGCGATTGAGGCGGCTGGCGATGGTGGCTGTTGCAGACGGCAGGCAGGCGGGCAGGCTCATCCGCAGAGCGAAAGCCCCCACAAGCGAGAAACACCGTCACGACGGCCAACTGCGCCCGTCGCCGCTGCCGCCGCGGGCGCCGCCCTCGCCGGCCCCGCAGGGCCGTTCACACGCATGGACGACGCGTGACGGCGCTCCAGGGCCGCCTGGGGCAACTGTGGCGCCGAACGCGCCGGCGGTCTTGCAGGAAGAGCAGCAAAAGCTGCAGCAGCAGCAGCAGCAGCGGCAGCAGCAGCAGCAGTGGCAGCAACAACAGCAGCAACAGCAGCAGCACCACCATCACCACCAAGAGCATCAAAACCAACAAGAGCACCAGCAGCAGCAGGAGCAGCTGCACCAGCAGCAGCAGGAGCAGCTGTACCAGCAGGAGCAGCAGCGCAAGAGCCACGTGAGCAGCAGGGTGCAGCTCCTGGAGCGCCTCATCAACCTGGAGCAGGAGCGCGTCGCCCGCAACCCCTTCCAGCAGCAGGCGCAGCGCCGCCGCTGCCAGTCCCAGCCGTCTTCGCCGCTCGCGGCGCCGCTTGCGCCGCGCCGGCCACACCCGACCGCGGCGAGCCAGGCTGCGGCGCCGAGCGCCGGCTGGGGCGGCGCCGGGTTGCAGGGAGAGCGGGCGTCCCGGTTGGACCGTGTGGCTGCAGGGGCAGCGTACCAAGAGGCCGCGCGGCCGCACGAGAGCCACTCGCGGCTGCGACATTGGCTTGAGATGGAACGCGCAGCCCTGGCCGGCCCTGGCGCTGGTGCCGGCGCCGGCAAGTGGTCCGGAGCTACTGCTGCAGCGGCGGCGGCGCACAAGCCCCCAAAGCAGCAGCCGCAGGACGCGGCGTCGCAGGGCACTCTTGCCCACGAGCAGGGGGAGGCTGACGGCCGCAGCGGCGACGCCCAGCGGCGCGCGTCCCCGGTCCTCCCGCTGCCCGAGACCCCGCACGCGCGGCCGCTGGGGCGGCCGCGCGTGAGCTCCGGCAGCACGTGCGAACGGACGGGCAGCAGCAGCAACAGCAGCGTGTGCAGCCACGATGACGTGCAGGCCGCAGCGGCGGCCGCGGCGCCGCTTCCGCGCCGGGTCCCGCAGCAGCCGGCGCCCTCGCCGGTGGCCGCCGGCGTCGCTGTCGCAGCGGCCTATGTTCACACCTCGAGCGCACACGCCTGCGCCTGCCGCCCGTGCGCGGCGGACGTTCGCGTTAGGGACCTGTGCCCGCTGTGCCAGCATGCAATCGAGTTGGTCCTCCGAATGCACCCCTGTGTCGGGGCGCTGGTTGACGACGCTCGCCGGCAGCTGCCCGCTGTTTGAGCGCCGAGCGGCGCCGGCGCGGACCCCTGCCGTTTTGGCCCGGGAAGGGGCTCTGCTGATTCGCACCCGCATCAGCGGCGCTGCGGCATCCGAGGTGGACTGTACTGTAGTACAAACCCCCACTGATGGCCTGATGGCTTGCGCCCACCTCCCCGAGCGTCTCAAGCACCCGCATCCAGCGGCAAATGCGCTGGTGCCCTGCGTGCGCGCAGGGGTACAGGCGGGCGGCTTCGCGCCGTTATCCCGCCACACGCTTGGGTCACCCGCAGCCTCACATGCTGTCCACCATGCAACCATGCAATCGCCCCTGTTGGTGAAACCAGCGGCCATGGCCACTGAACTGCCACCACACGTTTATGGGCCCTGCGCCAGCACCACAATCATTGTGATCAGGTTTGGTCAACTAATGAGCAGCGCGGCCCGCAACAACGGCCCGTTGCTGTTGCAGGCTGCTCCTTATCAAGCGGGCCCCACGGCAGTGGAATTTGGGGACGAGGCCGCCGCGGCGTCCCAAGTTGGACACTCTTTCTTGAACCCCTGGCGCCTCGCGGCGATTCCCATGCATACGAATGCGCTTTCCATCTTCGCAGCTCAGCAATTGCATGTCGCAGGCCCGTCGCACCGCGCCGTAATGGGTGGGCTCGTGTGTTTTGCACGTGTTGGTTTCCCATGCGCGCGTCGTTTTTCGGGGCCCGACCTTTGTCACTGATGCAGGCGTGTGCGGGAGGAACTATCATCTCTTATTTAGGCATTGCGCCCCTTGTACATGCCCCCTCCTGCGGCGGCCTTTGGCGTGAGCCCAACGTATCACTTGCCCTGCTCTCGCGGCTGTACGCCCTGCAGCTCTCTCTTTTGGACAGCACCGTCATCCCATTTCGCCTTGCTCAGCCTGATTTCCAATGGCACCTGTCTCATGTGACCCGATCTGGGGGCGCCTTGGCTCCTTCGTTGTGACGCAGGTGTTGGGGGGCTGTCGACCCCCCCTCCCCCAAACGTCTTGGGTTCCACGAGCGCCCTCACGCTGCAGCCTTAATGAATCGCAACCAATGTGCTTCAGGTCTCAGGGTTCGGCGTGTACCAGTCACCCCGCAAGTGCCAGTTCACAATCTGTCCGGTCTGAAAAGTGCGGCGTGCTTTGTGAGTGGCGAGGAAGGCACGCTGTGTAATAAAATGAAATTCGACGTTGCGCTGCAGCTCAGGGTAGCGGCTCTGGCCTTGTCAGATGCACAGGCGAATGGCCCCCGGCATGAAGCTGATAACAGCTGCGCCCTCGCCAGCAGCTTCCCCATCAACCTCCCAGGGCAGCAAGGCCGCCATTCCCGCCGCCCCCACCCCTTGCGCAGCGCCCGGGGCGGCCGCCAGCTGCGCGGCCGGCCGCACGGCCAGGTGGCTGCGTGCGGTGCAGGTCGTCACCCCCCTGAGCCCCAGAAACCTCCCAGAGCGCAGCAGGTGACCTGCGACCGGTTGGAAAAACCAGGGCAAGAAACGGGTTGCGCGTCCAGGACTGCGACGCACGGGCAGGCCGCTGGCAACAATCAATGTGACTCAAGGCCCTTGCACGGCCCCATGCAGTACATTGATTGTTTGTCACGGGGCCGCTGCAAGCAGCGTGCGCTGCCGAAGGAGCCACGCCCCATCGGTCGACATCGAGCATCTACCAAGCGGCAGGTGCTGGCGGTGGGGACCACCCACCTTTGCTCAGAAAACCCCATACCCCGTAGCCCTCGACAATCGTACACTCCAGCGCGCCGCTACAGGTGGCCGCGCCCGGACAGATGCAGAGGCCGCCACCCCTGTGGCGGGCAGCCAGGACGGCGGGCAGGCGTGGCGGGCGCCGGACTGTGACGCGGCGCGGGGCAGGTGCTGCTGTTGGCTGCGTGGCGCACAACCGGGCGGCATGCTCCAAATCCAGGTGCCCGGCAGCTGCTCACGCGGCCTCGCAAAGCTCAACGCGCTGCCTCTCGAGGCCCTCCCTCCAGTGCTGGTTGCGCACGCCCGCGCCTCCTGCCCCCTAGACCCTGATTTAGGCAAGGCCCGCAAGCTCCTGCCGTCACCCCACCACCTGAATTGCGGCCGCCGGCCCCTTACCAGAACCTGCCGTTGCCGACAGCGAGCACGGAGGGGTTGGCCACCGGGCGCCAGGGTTCCCCATCCACACTGCACTCCCAGCCGCAGGGCGGCCGCCACGCTAGCAGGGCTGACAAGGCAGCGAGCTCATACGCTGTTGCAATTCGGTGGGGTTGATGATGAGGGAGACGGTGTTGGCCGCCACGGATGGGGGTGATGGCCCAGTCAGGAGCCAGCCAGGTGCAAGACAAAAACACCCGGCCCGTTCACCCACCGAATGGCCACCCTTTGAGGGCCTGCACCCGCCGTGCCGCTGACGCCCCGGCGCCGCAGCTTGCCACGTTGCAGAAGTAGCGCGGCCGGCCGCCGCAACCCGCCGCCGGCTGCACGGTGGCTGGCGCGGGCGCGCATCCGAGCTGCCAGCTGGAGGTTTCAGGGTCCCAGCCTGCTGCCTCTTCGGGCGCCGCCAGCCGCAGGCAACCGACATCCAGGGGCTCTGTTGTTCCGCCCGTCACGCGCTGCGCGGCCGCTGCTGCGTCTTCGCTCTTCCTGGGACGGGGACAGCAGGTTGGAATTCGTGGCCTAGGCGGCAAGGATGCCACCAGGACAATGGCATTCCAGTCAACCTTTGCTGCCTTTGTTGCAATGACCTGGACAACGCAAGTTCAGCACTTGAAAACACATGGGATGTATTTTGTAGCAGCACGAAGCACTAATATTCAGAGGGTCCCACCAGCCGTGGCTCCGGCAGAAATCGTTGCCGGTCCCCAGCGGCAGGATGGCCAGGCGAGCACCGTCGGCCGCCGCCGCCGGCGACGCTGCGGCCGCGGCAGAGTGCTCCATGAAGCCGGTGACAACCTTTCGCGGATGGGGCCGGGGTGGCGGGGCGGGTTCTGACGTGAGGGGGGGGGGTGAGCCCCCAAGCTGCCCTAGGCAGGACACAGGGTGTACTGCAAGGCACCAGGAAGCGTTTTCCTCAGTTGCCTCGTGGCTGGCGCGTGCAGGCGCACGCATTGCAAAATGCACTGCCATAGGGGCTGCCTGGACCCACACACACGTCCTGCATCATTGTTTGGGACGCCCACTGGCCCTGACCTCGTTCAACAGGCCGTCTCCGCCCGCCGACACCACCACTGCCGCGCCCTCCATGAGGGCCTCCCTCGTTAGCCTTGCTGCGTCACCGGGTCGCTGCGTGCGCGCCACATCGATCGAGAAGCCGGCAGCCTCGCAGCCCTGACGGAATGTGTCCTCTACGCGCCGCCAGCGTGCTTCGCCGCTGCCGCCACCACCTGCAGGGCACTATCAGCAATCAGTGAAGCTGGCGCCACATGCACCTACAGCTTCAATCAGGAAACAATTGTGTACAAACTGACACGTGTCAAGCGCGATAGATGCCTACTCGTGGGGTTGACAACGACATAGCAGCGTCTCGATCCCGGAGTTGCCATTGTGTAGATGCGAGATTGCATGCGACAAGGCGTGCCTTGGTGCTCTCCACGCACTCAGAAGACAGGAAAGAGGTTGCACCTGAACTCAGGCGTCTCCCCACTCTACAAATGACATGCAAGTCCTGCCGGCCGCCCAGCTGGGTGCGCATGTGCTGTCAGCATCGGGCCCAGCAAGCTACCCAGCTGGACTCTCATTCATTACCTGGTTTGGTGCATGCACGATTTTGTCGAGCTGCGGTCCATAAATCTGCGTTGGGGACGGCCCGCTACAGCGCTGCGAAAGCAGCGGGCCTCGTTTGACCAGAAGGCGGGTTTACCTCGGCCCTCTGCTTGCTTTGCACAGCCCCCAAGGACGGGCTAGTGGAAGCCGCACACGATCTTGTTACCGAGGCCGCTTCATCCCGCGCTCCCCGGGCCCCATCATCCCGCCAGGCCCGGGCCCCCCTCCTGGTGGCCCCGGCTGCATGTGCGGCGGGGCCATCGGAGCGAGCGGCCCATGCATCAGGTGTGGTGGGCCGCCTGGGGGCTGCTGCGGATGCTGCTGCACGTTGAAGCCGGGAGGTAGCCCAGGTGCCATGCCTGGAGGCAGCATCCCCGGCCCTGGCGGGCCTGGCAGCCCCTGCATGCCGCCCCCGCCGCCGCCGCCACCGCCGCCGCCGCCGCCCTGGAACCCGCGCCCGCCTCCGCCTCCGCCACCGCCCCCGGGCTGCTGCTGCTGCTGCTGGCCCGAGGGCCCCGGCACACCTCCGCCCTGCAGCGCCATCAGCTGCGCCTCCAGATCGTCGGCGCGGCGCTTCTGCAGGAACACTGCCATGAGCAGGTCCTCCTGAGAGGGATGTGAGGGGTGGCAGCTGCTGGATCACAATGGTCGTATACTCAGCACTTGCGACGTTGCGGCAGATGGGGCCCACGGTCCAAGCGTTTGAGCAGTGATAGAAGCCGCGGGCTCAAACTCACATGCGCATTCGGCGACATTTGTTTGCCGGCAGAGCACGTGTGCGATGTGCGATTTGCGGTCGCATGCCACCTCTCATCAGCGCCGCCCAGCGCCCGCAGCCCGCCGCGCCAGGCCCTAAACCCCCTCCCTCCCGCCGCCCCAGCCCACCTGCTCCTCCTCCAGCAGCACTGCCGCGTCCCGCATCTCGTGCAGCGCCGCCTGTAGGTCTGCCGCAAAGCCGCGCGCCACCGCGAGCTGCCGCGCGGTGGCGTCCGACCGCGACTCTGCCAGCTCGCGGCCGAGCTCCTGGTTCTCCTTGAGGAGCTGCTGGCACTTGCCCACGAGCTTCTGGCCCATCTTGGAGTCCTGTGAGGCGGCAGGTGTGCATGAGCGTGTACAAGCATGTGTGCGTGAGCGTGCGTGTGTGTGGTGTATGTGTGTGCGTGTAAGTGTGTGTTTGTGAGTATCCGTGTCTGTGTGTGCGTGTATTCCCGTGCATGTGTGCATGTGATGCGTAGGAAGGATCTGACAGCATTTCCAGTATGACAGGGCCAGCAGGCAGCAGGCGCTTCCTGCCGTCGATGCGCTCGGAGGGGCGGCGAGCACACGGCGCACACCCGCACGCCAACCTGCGTGTACTGCACGCCGTTGAGCTGCTCCTTGAGCGCCTGCACGTGGACGCCGCTCTCCTGCAGGTCGGACCGCAGCCGCTCGAACTCGCGCTGCACGGCCGGGTCTAGTACCAGCTGCCGCACCTGAGGAGGGAGGGGGCGTGGGGCAGCGGGGGAGCGGGTTGCGGTGGCTGCCCTGTTGGGACCACGGGCACGCGGCTGCAAGACGAGCAGGACGCTTCATGCTGCGCGGGCAGCCGGGCGGCCTGCATTCAACGGTGCACCGCACGTCCTGCGGCCGGGCAGGCGCACGTCATGGGCCTGTTCCCGCCCCATGTGGCGCTGGACGCGCCTGCTGCACGATTGGCTCCGCGAGCTGCCAGCCGCTCGCGACCTCGCGCCGCAGCTCGACGTTTTCGAGCGTCGCGTTTGCCAGCTGGATCTGCAGCGCCGCCTCGCGCCGCCGCAGCTCCGCCACTTCCTTCTGCAGCTGCTGCGGCGCAGCCAGCTTGGCGCGCACGCGGCGCTCGGCCTCCTCGGACGCGGCGGCAATGCTGTTGTGGTCGTCGGCTGTGTCGGGTGGCTGCATACCCGACAGCCTGAAGAGGGCCTCCAAGGCCGGGTGCTGCATATCAGAAGATAGAAAGATTCATACACTGGTCAGCCTCAGCAAGCGCGAAGTCCTGCTGGCTGGCAGCGTTCAATGCAAGCGGTGCGGCGTGAGCGCAAAGGCGACTCGCTGCGCAGCAGCTATGGGGCTGCAAATATTCGTACGAATAATTACCTGCATATTGATCACTGGCAACTACGGTACAGGTTGCTGCGCTGCTAGATGGGGCGAGTGAGTGCCTGTGCTTAGCAGGTTGCTGGATTGTATTTTGGACCTCGGTCACACACTAATTGTTTGTAGGTTGACACTGAACGAAGAATCAGGCACTGCCGCGCTTTTTCTTAAAGACACTGAGGGCAGAACGGCTGATCTGAGGTGATCTGGAGGAGCTGATCGATATACCGGCTTGCAGCTCTTGAATGAATACTATATGAGAGGTGAGTGCGTGTGTGTGGTTGAAAGCGTGGCCTCACAGCTGGTCCGATCATGGCATTGGCGGGCACCGGCTCGGCGCCGTTGCTGGGCCCTAGGCTGCAGGGTCATCATGAAAGACGCACCTGGAGTGTTGCAACGCATGCTGTTGGCATGCTGCGCTGATGGGGCCTGTCGGGGACGGCAGCTCTTGCGTGCCAGTTGCCATCTCGAACCTGCCTGGGACGGCATCCAGTACCTGTGTACACTATAGATTTACTGTGCGAGCTTGAAGCGCGCTGTTGAAAGGCCTGTAGTCCGGCGACCGCCACGGCGCAGCAAGTGCGTGGTGCGTCAGCATGCGCTCCCTGAGCACACTTGATCACATGAGCGGCCCTCAGGGTCCCGTTCACGCAAGGGTCTCCGCCATAAAACTTGACCTCGCATGCATGCCTTTGTCCTCGCAGCCGCGCCCGCATAAGGCGTACGGCTCCCGCAGCTCGTGTGCTGCGGCGGATCAACGGCAGCCGCGTTTTGCGGCGGGCTTGCCCGGCGCGGCAGGGCATCGCACAGCCAGCAAGGCGCCCCGCCGGCGCTTGCGGCCTCGTCTTTGCGGCCAGCAGCGGCGGCCCCGACAGCACCTGAAACAGCCGGCGGCGGCGGCGCCGCGGCACACGGCCGGCCGGCCACCCTCGCGACCATGGCGGCGCCGGCGCAGCCCATCGAGGTCACGCGGCTGCTCCTGCACGCGCAGGACCCGGACCCCGGCGTGCGCGGCCAGGCCGAGCAGCAGATCCAGTACTTTCAGGAGCAGAACTACTCGGGGTTTCTGGGCAGCCTCGCCTATGAGCTGGCCAACGCCGAGAAGCCGCCGGAGAGCCGGCGGCTCGCCGGCATCGTCCTCAAAAACAACCTCGACGCGAAGGACGACGCCCGCAAGGCCGCGCTCGTGTCGCGCTGGGAGACGGTCGAGGCCTCGCTGCGCGCCAGCATCCGCGGCGCGCTGCTGCAGGCGCTGTCTATGGAGCCTCAGGAGGTCCGGGGCACCGTGGCCCTCGCCCTTGCAAAGGTCGCCGCAATCGAGCTGCCGCGGCGCGACTGGCCGGACCTCATCCCCGCGCTGCTCGCCAACATGAGCGCGTCGCCGCCGAGCCACGGCGTGCGGCAGGCGACGCTGCAGGCGCTCGGGTACATCTGCGAGGAGATGGGGTCGCTGAAGGACGACGTGCTCAGCCCCGAGCAGATCAACATGGTGCTCACGGCGGTCGTGTCGGGCATGCGGCCAGAGGAGCCGAGCGCGGACACGCGGCTGGCGGCGGTCACGGCGCTGCAGAACGCGATCGAGTTTGCGGACCACAACTTTGGCAATGAGAGCGAGCGCAACTACATCATGCAGGTGCGCAGACGCGGCGACCTGCGGCAATGATTGCGCTTGCTGCCAACGCCGGGCCAGCAAGCCGGTGTGGGTCTGGGCGGGCAGCCTGTTGGGAGGAACGGCCATGTGTGCGGGGCGCTTGTTGCGTGGTTGGGTCTGCGCCGATTAGCTTGCTGCCGTGGTCGGCGCATGCACTTGTCCAGCTGAGCAGCGCGCCGCTCGCCACACCTCCCCCCCCCCCTGCGCCGTTGCACCGCTGCGCCGCTGCCCCACCCTTCCCGTCCTGCGCTCCAAACCCTGCAGGTCGTGTGCCAGGGCACCGTGGCCAGTGACGTGCGCATCCGAGTGCAGTCCTTCGCGTGCCTCCACGAGATTGCCGCAAACTACTACGCCAGGCTGCCGCCCTACATGCAGGTGCGGCGCCGTAGGAGCCTTGCACGCGTGCGCGCCCGCGCGCGCGTGTGTGTGTGTGTGTGTGTGTGTGTGTGTGTGTGTGTGTGTGTATGTGTGTGTTGAGGAGATGGGGCGCTGCATCCAGGTGGGGCGGCCGGGTCTGCGGGTTGACACCCTAATTGCGACCAGATGCCGCCCGACGGCGCTGGCACAACGAGCGCTGCAGGTCGGTCCCATCGGGCGGGCCGACGCCTGCCCGCCCCGCTTCGCTCACGCCTTGGCCCGGCCCTGCGCCTCCCCCTGCGGTGGCCCTGCACGCACCCCCACCCCCCCACAGGAGGTCTTCAACTTGAGCGTCAAGGCCATCAAGGAGGACGAGGAGGACGTAGCGCTGCAGGCGGTGGAGTTTTGGTCCACGCTCTGCGACTACGAGCTGGAGCTGGAGGAGGAGGGCGAAGCCGCAGAGGAGGTGCGCGTATGTGTGGTGGACACTCGGCAAAAGGGGAGGGAAAGCTCAGCCAATGCGGGGGCGCGAGGCGAGGGCGAAGTGCTAAGCGTGGCGAGCGGGAGGCTGCGTGGCTGCAGAGGGAGTGCATGCTTTTTCAGCGTGAGCTCACCCCACTTTTGAGACTTGTTATGCCCGTGTCAACCTTCAATGCGTGTTCTTTGCCCTGCGCATCACCTTGCCTCACCCCCCCTTTACACACACACAAACACACACACACATACACACACACACACACACATACACACACACATACACACACACACACACACACACACACAGACCAACCACAACTTCATCAAGGCGGTGACGCCCCACCTGGTGCCGGTGCTGCTGGAGCAGCTGGTCAAGCAGGAGGAGGGCCAGGAGCAGGACGAGAGCACCTGGAACCTGGCAATGAGCGCGGGCACGTGCCTCGGCCTCGTCGCGCGCGTCGCCGGCAACGACGTCGTTTCAGTGGTGCGCGGCCGCACTAGCACGCGCGCGACGGCGCCCGCAGCGGCGGCGGCAGCAGGGCTCGCAGAGGGACGGGGACGCGCGTGCTTTGCCGTTGGATGCGGCGCGCGGCATCGCGTCGTCACACCGGCCTCCCCCCGACCAGGCTACACAACCAAGGCTGCTGCGGCTCTTTTACGTCCCCCTCGTCTCCCTGCTCCGCAGGTCATGCCGTTTGTGACGACAAACATTGCCAAGTCGGGCAGCCCCGAGGACTGGCGCTGGCGGGAGGCGTCGACGTTTGCGTTTGGCTCCATCATGGAGGGGCCGTCCGCAGTGGGGCTTGTGCAGCTGGTGCAGCAGGCTATGCCGTTCTTGTTGCAGGTGGGTGGACAACCATATGTGTGTGTGCGTGCGTGCGTCGGCGCTTGTGCGTGCGCGCTCGTGTAGGCACACGCTTGTGCGTGTGTGTGTGCATGTGTTTTTGTTTTTTTGACCACATCCTCGTGGGAAGCGGGAGCGTTGATACATGCGTGTGCCTGCATGCATGCCACAGGCATGATTTTACGAGTCAGGGATGGCCAATCCTCGCGCAAGGCTGCTGTGACACTGTGTTTGGAGGGCCAACTGCGTATGCACTAGCACTCAAGAAGCCACGTCCCCTCTTCGGCGCTGCACGTGCGCCTGATCGCTCACCCCATGCCCCTGGGCGTCACGGACGGCTCACTCCTCACCACCCCCCAGGCCATGAAGGACCCCCACCCCTACGTGCGCGACACCACCGCCTGGACCATCGGCCGCGCCTTCGAGTTCCTGCACGACACGGGCAACCCAGACCTGCCGGCTCTGGTCGGCCAGGACACGCTGCCAGGCATTGTGCAGGTGCGGCGCGCCGCGCCCACCGCATTCCGGCCTGCGCCGAGCCCGGCGGCGCCCGCCCCACCGCACCCACCTGCTGCAACCTTTGCAGCCTTCTTCGCCCCCGAGACGCGTGGGCAAGGCGCGCCCGCCCGCGTTGCTTGGACGTCCTGAGGGCTGGGCCCATCGCCGCTGCCGACAGCACCCAGGTGCTGACAAACCGGCCCCAACCGCTGCCAACCGCCGCTGCTGCCTTTGCCCCAACCCCAGGTTTTGAAGGACGGCCTCAAGGACGAGATCCACATCGCAAAGCGCGTGTGCGACGCCATCGGCATGCTCGCCGCAGGCTTTGCGAGTACATCCTGTGAGCCGGCCTGCGCGGCTCCACCCGCCGGCCCCCCGCGCTCGCTGT